TGGCGACGACTAGGACGACGACGATGACGACGAGGAGGACTGTCATGGCGACTGTGGCGTCGTCGTCGTCGTTTCTCAAAACGATGGAAATTCAAAGGCTTTAAAGCAGAGGGAGAAAATAGGTCGGTCCTCTCACCGCCCCTAACCATATACTATATGTTACATAGACATCTGTATCGTATAAGAAAGAGAGAGAGAGAGAGAGAGAGAGAGAGATAAATCGTATGGGTATTTTATTTTCTTATGATTTAGTTAAAAAAAAAAAAAAAAAAAAAAACAAGGAAATTATTTTCATCGATAACCCACGACGCTTTAGTTTTGTTTTTGTAATTTTTCCTTATTTTTTTTTTTTTTTATATATATATTTGAATTTTTTTCATATTAATTCATAGATTTTTCGTGATCTCTAAAGGGTTAGGGAAAGCTAGCAATACCTGGCGGTTCAGTGAATGCCTATTCGATTGAGCGTCGTTGAATTATCATTATATCAATCATTATATCATTATAATATATATATAATAATATTATTATATCAATAATTATATCATTGTATATATAATCATTATATCATTATATTATTTGGCACTTGAAAATCATTATATCAATCATTATATCATTATAATATATAATTATTATATCATTATATTATTTGGCACTCGAAAATCATTATATCGATCATTATAATATATATATATAATATCATTATATCAATAATTATATCATTATATCATTTGGCACTGCAAAAAGTTCACGTTCGCTTTTTATAATAGGTACACTTTTAATAGATACTAACGCATACACATATTCTTCGATATTTTATATTTATATCCTGCTCTAATCCTCATCCCTCTCCTTCCTCCTAATTCTAATTTTATTTTCTTATAAATATATATCGCACAATTAAATATTTATCTTAAAAATTTAAAAACCACGACGTTCACATTACATACACATTAGTAGTATACATTTAATACTTTTCTCTATTTTATCTTTTAATATCTTTTCTCTTCTATATATTTCTTTATTTTTCTTTTTAACACACACACACACACACACACACACACACAGATACATACGCCTTCGATATTTTCTAGTTTTCTTTCTTCGATCTTTATACCACACTATTCCTATTGTTTTTCTTTTATATATATATTGATATATATATGTATACATTTTTTTTCATTCATTTTTATATCTCGAAAAGAAAATATGTACTCTCACCTTTCAACGTTTAGAGATATTTCACCGCTTTTCGAATAACCTACCACGAGCGGCAACGGGTTCCTGAAAGGAATTCACCAAAAAGAGCAGTGACTTTGTTTTCTTTCACTCTCTCACTCACTCTCTCTCTCTCTCTTTCTTTCTTTTTGTTTCTCTTCGTTCTGGATCGGACGGATCCTTCTTTTTCTTGGTACTTATCCGACGTTACTAACGCACGAGTTCTTCCTTTATCTCTATCTCCATCTCATTCTCTTTTCCTTTATCTATCTATCCATCTATCTTTCACCCCCATCCCAAACACCCCAATTCCAACCCCCTGCATCTTCGTATCCGCACCACCCCCAACCGCCACCACCTGCATTCCCAACCAAGGTGTTTGTTTCTTTCTTCTTCTTACCTCCCCCTCCCCCTCTCCCCACCACTCTTTCTCGTCCTATCTCTATCTCTCATTTTATTTGTCTTTTCATTTCGGGTTTTTTTTTCTTCTTCTTCCCCTCTTTCCTTCCCTTCATTCTTTTTCTTCTCCATTCATTTCTATTCTTTTTTTTTTTTTTATTTTTCTTTTTTTTTTATTATTATTATTCTTCTCATTTCCTTTTCTTTTCGTTTCTTATTTCAACGACTAGCAAAGATGAGGAAGACAACAAGAGACTTTGCAATTAATCGGAGACCCTGGTCTTTCGTAATTAAGAAACTTCGTCTTGTTTGTCCTTACGTATATCACGTTAAAGTATTTAGAATGAAACATGGGATTACTTTAATTCTCGAGCGTGACTGAATTTATCCTTTTCTTTATTTCTTCCTTTCTTTTTTTTTCTTTTTTTTTTTTTTTTTCATCTATCTGTCTATTTGTCTTTCTTTCACTTTCTATTTATCTGTGCATTTGTTTTAAATCTCGTTTTGATAGATTCGAATAAATGAAATTTTATTACGAAAAAGAACAATATGATTGGTAAAAATAAAAAAAAAAAAATAAAAGCAAGATTTGCGATGCTCGTGAACACCGCATAATTTAACAAATGACACAAAGCTAATTGGAAAGGTTTTTAATTTGAACATTTGGATTGCTAAAAAGATTTTTGTCGATGAAAACAATTCATGCAATTGCGGATAAAAATGGAAATATAATTTGGCAAATTGGCAATCGTGATATCTGTAAGAAACTAAACGTTTCCTATTATAATAAACAATTTGAGAAATCTATTGGAAAAGATTTGATAGAAATTTATGAACAATAACTCGATTCACACATTTAACATTCACAAATACGAAAATATAATATTCGATCCGATATATATATATAACGTTAAATAATAATATCATTTTACATTTGAATTTGTGAATTTATATATTTGAATATAAATATATGAATACGCATATAAACACGTATAATATTTCTATTTTTCTCTTTAACTTAATTTAAACCCAATGTACGTTCCAATAACACTGTTTAGAGTTAAACTGACGACAAGAGAATAAAAACCGAGATGGAGAGATAAAGTTTATGGTATTCAAGTCATCCCTCTCCCTCCTCTCTCTTTCTTACTCACACATATACATTTTTATCACACTCTTTCTCTCTTTCTCTCTCTCTCTCTTTCTTTTACCTTCATCTTTGTTACGTGTCAGCTCTTGGCGACGACGACGTCTCGAAGTCACCCAGCTAGCTCTATTTCTCTTTTCTTTTCTTTTCTTGTCTTATTCTTTTCTCTACTCAAGACCTAAAGAGTAAGAAAGAGAGAGAGAGAGAGAGAGAGAGAGAGAGGGAGAGAGAGTAGTATTACTTTCAAGACTTTTAGTATGACACCCTCGCGTTGCTGCTACAAACACTTGCCCTCCATTTCGCTTCTCTAGAATCTACATCACGTCGGAAGGGGTGTGTTTCCTACCGTCGTGGATTTGGATCGGCTTCAGGGGTGTGTTGGATAGGATAAGAAGGAGTGAAACGTGACCGTATTACTCGGAAAAATAGTATGACGAACTTTTAAATGCTAGTTACACATTTTACTTTATCTTTCAACATTGTCATTTATTTTTATCTCCTTTTGTTTATCCAATTTTAAATTTACTAATAAATAATTGGAAGGTTATGAATATTTAGGCTAACAAACACTAGTCTAGATTGAAACAGTTTTGTTGAGGAACTTAAATAATAACGATCAATTTAACGAAGTTTAGATGTTTTGTGTTTTGAATATTAATAATAAAAAGAAAAATGTATGTCTACTCAATGAAAAAAGACGCTGAACTGTAAAGATTAAGGTAACATGTAAAAAATTATTTATTCATGTATGTCGTAATATAAGAAATAATAATAAAATAAAATTTCTAGTTGCTGAAGAAGTCCCAATAAAGGGACGAAACGTCCAACTAGATCAAACATAGTTCTACTTCTTTCATGTCCAAGTTCCCTGTTAAATTTCATCATTAAAAAAAGTTATGAATAACAATTATGATGATAATGATGATGATGATTATTAAAATTACGTCGAATATATTTATGAATACAATAATTAAGAGGAAACATTTCAGTTTTATTAATGAAATATTTTTAATTGTCTAATCGAGATTACAAAGATCAAGATAATATCTAATTGATATTTTATTATGCAAAAATTAAGAGAATACATTTTTAATTTAATAATGAATATTTTCTTTTTTTTTTTTAATAAAAAAATTCACATTCATCGTATAAATCTTATAATTTAAAGTATTAATCAAAATAAAAATAATTAATTTGTAAATTAAAAGAATTATCAAGGAAAAATATATAAGTATGTTTATATATAAAGGAAGCTTAAAGAGAAGGTCTTATTTCTATTTTCATGTTTCTCGTTGAAGCGTTGGACTGTAAACCATTTTCAACTAATATTACTATGAGCGACTTTGTACTGGTGTACGAGGAAGACGAAGAAGCTCGAGTTTACGGAAAACTTATCTACATATATAAGCATACACATATGCATGTATATATATATATATACATGCACACGTATGCATAAATATATATGCATACGTCGTAAAATTATATTTACGAGGAGAAGTCAATTTTATATCTCACTGTTTTATTTATCTTCGTAAAAATAAAACAAAAAGAGTAAGAGAGAGAGAGAGAGAGAGAGAGATGAAGAGAAAAGAAAAAAAGAGATCATTTTAAATAATTTATTATTTATTAAACTATATATCATTATTTATACGCAAATATGTGTGAATTTTGTTATTTTAAGCTGAGTTATACCTTCTTGACGTCAAAGAAAACTCCTGACGCTACTTAAAAGTTGCGTCAAAAGAAAACTTTTCTTAATACGTGTTAGTTTCTCCAAATGCCAATTCCTGGTGTTAACCACTTAAATATAAATACGATACACATTTATTATACTTACATTCATTTTACACTCGTTAAGTTCGAAAATAAATGATTTATTAATGAACAAACACTAACATCGTTTGAGTTTGAATTCGTTTTTAACTAATAATAAGTGTAAATACAGTATATTTTGAGTATAATTTAATGTGCATACTTATTTAAAAATTGTACAAATTGCATATCGTAATCTCTGGACAGATTAACATATACTCATATAGAAATATAAATGTATGGTAGTGTAGGAAATAAAATAAAATGATGATTGATAAAAGTATGAACTAATTTATGGTACATTTGGCTTTATGTATTCATTATTATTTATTTTTATTTACAAATATATGTATATATAATATTATATTAAATATTTATATGTTTTTAATATCTTCTTCTTCTTTTTTTTTTTCTTCTATAGACTTTCTGCGTGGTGTCGAAGAGATTTCGAAAAAATTACATCCATAGGTTCACTGCAACCAATAGTTGGTTTCTATTTTCCCCGTGGAATCCTATAAGACGGTGCTGCATCTTCCTGAGTACTAATCAGTACTTCGATTACATGGTCATGGCTACTATACTACTTAATTGCGTCTTCCTGGCCATGACCGAAACCGTCGAAGAAGCCGAGTAAGTATTATTTTTCAATTTTATTAGATTTTTTCCTTTAGAATAAATTATGCTTTACAAAATATATTAAGTTGGTTAATAAATACGTGCAAATTTTGCCGTATAATTTAATAAATATACATATAATGTAATGCTGTAAATAGTGCATCTTTGTAATTTCTTTGAGAAGTTTTGGTAAATATTTTTTATACTAAAAGTGAATAAAATTTAATGTAACTTATATTAAATTAAAGTACACTCCTTTGTCTACGCGCAGAATACTATATCGAGTTATAAAATATATATTATTATTGGTCTGAAAAATAATTTCAAACGAGATCAAGTCATATCGTTTGATGATGCACCAATGAATGAAAGAAAGAAAGATAGAAGGAAAAGAGAAAGAGTTTTTTAATGTTAACTTTTGCAAACATTTGTTCCAAAGGTTAACTTCTTTTATTTTTTTTCTTTTTTCTTTTTTTTTGATAAAATACACGCGTCTATCCGTAGGGTTTCTTTTGTATGCCGATCATACTTTTGTAAAACTGTCTTCTCTATCAAAAACGTCTGTCTCCATTTGAAAAGAACGTTAAGCGTTAAATCGTACTTTCTCTTCTTTATCTTTCTCTTTTTCGAGAACGAAATTTCAAATACTTTTTGAAGAAGAACAATTTCACCTTTTCACAGCTTTCGTAGCTCGCTTTATTCTGATGAACTCATGTTTCTTATTAGCATGTACTTATCGTTTTTGGTTTTAAAAGTTATCCACACAAAAGTATATATTATACTTTCTTCAGTTATGTGATATTTGATAGGAAACTATTATACTTATGATTTATACTTTCGTTGATATATTTTATATTCATCGAGATTTTTCTTTAACTCATTTTGTATCATCGTTATTCAACATTTTTATAGTATTATTTTTATTATTATTATTCATATTATTTTATACTTTCGTTGATATATTTTATATTCATCGAGATTTTTCTTTAACTCATTTTGTATCATCGTTATTCAACATTTTTATAGTATTATTTTTATTATTATTATTCATATTATATGTATTAAAATTCTTAATGATTAAGTTTAATTAAATACATGTACTTTAATTTTTTTAGAAAAAATGAAAACTCATTAAAATATTGTAATCTCATCAATAATATACTTCTAATCACTGTCATCAAATTTGTATCAAAATATTGCATCGAAAACTTGTCATTTTTATAATAACATTTTATTCATATCATAATCATTAATGTTTCCTACATTGTCAAAAACCACTGGGTATTGTGGCCTATGCCTAGGACAAGCTCACATTCCCTGAAAGTCCTACTTTCTCTATAACATTTATACTAACATCATTGTAATCATAATCATCAAATTTGTATGAAAATATTTTACAATAAAATTACTTAAAAACGTATTTTTGTATTTTTATAAAAAATAAACGCATAATTTAATTTACTTTTGTTTATTATTTTGACAGATATATCTTCCTAGCCATATACACGGCGGAAATGGTGATAAAATCAATAGCTAAAGGATTTATATTGAACAAGTACACCTACCTACGAAATCCCTGGAATTGGTTGGATTTTGTGGTGATAACTAGCGGTTACGCAACAATCGGTATGGACGTTGGAAATTTGGCTGGCCTTAGGACATTCAGGGTGTTGAGAGCATTTAAGACTGTATCCATTATGCCAGGTAGGTAAGATTACTATTATTTATAAAATAATTTTTTTATAACATAAGAACAATTTTCGCAGATAAACAAAAATTTATTTTACATAACAAAATATCACTTTCCTATTTTTTAAATTCATTTTCAAAATTTTTTACATTAACTCGTATAGTAATAACAAATTTAATTTTTTTGTATCATTAATTACAAACAAGTTTGTTTTAAGTTAATTTTTTTTTTTAAATTAATTTTCTTTACAAATTTTCTGAAAGTTTACTAGAATATATTTTAAATGTATACAAAAAATTGTTACCTAATTACAAAGTAATTAAATAATTTTGTAAAACAATTATTTCATTTTCGAGATTACATAATTCGAATTTTGTTTGTACAAATGTGTAAACAAAATTACAATATAATTTATAAAAATTGTAAAAGTATTTGAAAGAAATATAATACATGTTTATAATCATTTTAAAAAAAAAATAATGCAATGTCCCTCGGCTAGAAATTTTTAGCACAATCTTTATATCTGTCTGTTAGTTGAACGTAATTAATGTCCTTGGAATGGAAAGGATCGTTAGTTGCATCCTCCAGTCGTTGCTTTTAAATAGAAATGATCTGTTCTCATCTCCGTCGAGTTTAAATATATATAAAAGGGCTAATGTTGATTTATATACACATATATGTACATATGTATATACGAATTAATCGATCAACGAATAGAAAAAGAAAGAACACGTGGATACACATATACTAACGCATATATACATATATATGCACATCCTTAAATATGTATTTAGAAATCCAGGACACATATGCGGGTTGTGTACACTTATTATTAATTGCAATTTCAAATCAGCCGTATCACGTCCATCGAGGCTTGACTAATTCACAAATTTCCATTGGCGATTCCAGCGAAATATCTTCCGATAAAAGCCGTTTCCGTTGGATAAAACGATTCATTCCATCGTCAGATTTCAATGATAAAATTCGAATCGGCTTGATCGTTGAAATTTATCGATAAACGAAAACCAAAGAAACGTTTTCCAATACCCGATTTATGTTTCTTACTTCTTCTTATTTATACGCGTGTCTGTGTATAATAGTATTATTAAAATAATTTAACTAATAATTATTAGAACAATTATTATAGATACATAAAATTCATGACAATATGAAAGCGTTTAAAAAAATAATTAAACCTATTTCTTATAATGGGAATATAAAATGAGAATTAGTTGAAAAATGTTATTGCTTGTTCTTTTTTTAAAATTTTAAGACTATGAAGAAAAAAATATAAATGAGTTTGACCGAGACAAAAAATTGTTTACTATTACCCACTTATAATAGTAAAAATTAAAAATAAACAAAATTACACTTTTCTTGGCACTCTAATCAAATTGAAAAATGAAATATTTCAAATTAAATTGTATGATTAAAATAATGTAACTAAAAATGAAAAAGCACATAAATCATAAGCCAATAGAATATTAATAATGATACACACACTATACAATGTATAAACTTTTGTCATTTAATTAATTCATCGTGGTGGTAACTTTTATAAATATAATTGAATAACTAGAAAACATATATGAAAATAATTTAATTCTTATATTTTTGACTAAAGTAAAAACTTGACAGAGTATAATTTAGGATATTACCACCAACATGGAAACAGTTAGGGTAGTTTACGAGAAAAGTTTCCGAGATGTTTTGGTGAAACAAAAAGGACGAAAGTTGTAATACTTACAAGAAGATGGTCAGTAAATCCCATCTCAAATGTTTTTCAAATTTTTTTCATTAAATTTATATAGAATTTGTTCGGACAAAAATTATCTGCAATCTAAAATATTGTATTGTAATAATTGTTATTTATAGAATTCGTTTCGTCAGGTTTTTATATTAAAAAATAAGCAGGTATCTTAAAGGATTGAAAAGTGTTTTTTTTCGTCAGCCCTGACTTTATCTTTTTCAGTCTTGTATTTTTTTCAAAAGGTCTGCCACTTGTTTGAAACTACTTTTACTTGCTAAGTCACCCTCCATTAACGCTGTTATTATATTAAATCGTTGGTTCTCCGTTTATTTGGAACATATTTTCGAAAAGCGTCATTTGACGATGATTAAAAAGGGAGAGGAGGAAACTTTATCAAAATTAAATGATTCAGGTTTGCGATAGGGACTTAATAGTTCATTAAAAAATTAAGCTTTAATTAAGCGTCTAATACATCGATAAGTTTTAGCATCAATTAATAAAACCATAATATTCGTACACGCGTAAATCCAAGGATTTCTTAAAAGTCATTTTACTAACATAAAAATAGAAAATATATAGATGTATTAAAATAGAATTATAATATTTAATATTTCATTTAGAAATATGAATGTTCGATTAACAAAAGGTATAGTTAACAAAATTACGTGCTCAAACGTTTGCTATAGTAGTTTCAAATATATTTGTCATCAAAAATTTATTATTTATTATAATATTTCAATTCGTTCAAACGATTTATAATTATCACGTACGTGAATTAACTTTTCAATCTGTTCGAAAATAAATTTTCTTCGATTTAATCCGAAGATACAAATTTAATTCACACACAGGCGCACGACTGATTAATTTTTTGTCGACCGAAATTTATCGACGAGAAAATAAATGAATACGAAAAATAAAAAAAGACAAATCTTGTATTATATTATCAACGTGGGATAAAATTTCAATATTCGAAATGAATTAACCGAAGCGCGTCGAGAGAGTTGAAAAAGAATCCTAACTCTCCTCCAATTTTCTTTTTTTACTTTTCAAATTATTTCCATAATATATATCTGCATATATGTCTATGCAAATGACTTGCACATATATATATATATATATATATATATATATATATCACTTTTATTCAGTTTAATTTTTATTCGCGTTCGATTCGATGAAGTGTTTGGAACACAAAATGATATTCGTCCCCAGTGGCATCTCATCTATCAGTAAAGATGGTGAACCATTACAGGACTATAATTTTCTTCTTCACCCCCCCTCCCCACTCCCTTCCTCCCTCCCTCTTCTCTCTTTCTCTTCATATATGTGTATGTATTTCTCTCTTTCTCTCTCTCTGTTTCTGTGTCTTTCTGTACATGTGTATATATGTGGGTTCACTTTCTGGTCTATGGGGACGTCAAATGTTCAATCAATTACGTTTGGATGTATATATAAGCGTGATCGTACAGTGTGCGAGTAATGCGCGTTTACACGCGGGAAATAGATAGTCGTTTCTGGCATTTGATAGATGTGCCTTTACCTTCCACTATGTGACTATCACTCTCTCTCTCTGTTTCTCTTACAACCGAGCAAGTGAACGTTCATTCTAATCGTCGTCGTTGTCTTCGTTGTCTTCGTTCTCGTCGTCACTTTGAACATAATTTATATTCGTACAACGACCGTATCTGGGTGACAATGAAATTGTTTGGAAATTGAGATTTCTCTTAGATTAGTTTTAGTCACTTCTTTTTTATTTTTGTTTGTTTTTTGTTTGATATCTTTTGTAATATTCTTCTTTATCTTTTATTCTCTATATTATTTTTGTTAATTTTAAAAATGTAATATACATATTGGTTTTATTAAATAATATATATAAAAAAGAAACTTTATATGATGAGCGAAGAGTAGATTTATAAATAAAGATACTTTTGTATTTTTATTTTTGTTTATACGTGTTTGATTTGAAATTATTAGATTTTTGTTTCACGAGTAATTAATAACGTCGATTTCGTTCGTTTATTTAACAAGGAAATAATGTTTCTTTTATAATCCTCTCTTTCATACTTCTCTTTCTTGTATTTTTATCGATTTATTTATTAACAAAGTTATTTGATTTGGAAAGAAAACAACATGATGTAGTTTCTAATATGTATATTATATTTTTAAGGATTTCTTTTTACTTGTGAATTTTTCCTATCCCTTTTTTTTGGTTTTTTTTTTTCTTTCTAGTATATTGGTTCATCCATTAATCAATTTGTTTAATTTAGAAAAAGAAATGTGTCGTCAGATTAGGGAACGTTCGTATAGATTTTTTTTCCTCTTTCACGTAAACTTGTGTTTTTTTTCTCTCTCTCTCTCTCTCTCTCGTTTAATCTTGTCGTCGTCAGTTTGAAACGTAATTTATATATTCGTACGCGACGACCGTATCAGAGAGACAATCAAATTGTTTTTTGGGAAATTGAGATTTCTCTCAGCTTACACTAAAACTTTATTTCTTTTTGTGTCTATTTTATTTCGCGTTAATCTTGGATAATAAATGTTCTTCATTCGAGTTACAAATGTTTCATCTGGTTAAATATTTCTTTCATTCGTATACGTTTATTATTTTTATTTGCATAAAATTTATGAATTAGCAAATAAACATAGAATTTACTTTGAAAATATATAATCTTTGATGCGGATCATATTTTATTTTCTCTCTCTCTCTTTTTAATCAATCAGCAGTTAGATGAAAAATACAATTTGTGTGAAACATTCGAATCCAATTAAACCCGTATATCAACACATTATCAATATATTATATATTATTTTAAGAATGAAATAGAAATTAATTAAAAACTTTAAGAGAAAAAACAAAAAGGACCAATTAGAAAAAGATATTTTCGTATTCGTAAATTGAAATGTTAAAATACAAAAAAAAAAGAAAAATATAATAATAAAAACAAATACGGTCACCCTTGACGGTTATACCAAGTGTCGCCCATTTGTCACGAATTAGCATATGCATGAATCTTTCAGCACCTTAACACTCTCTGTCTGAAATTTTCCTAACGTAAAAAAGACCAAAAAAAAAAACAAGAAACAACAGGCAAAAACATAGAGAGACAGAAATAGCTTCAAAAAAAAAAAAAAAGAACCAGAGAAATACTAAAAGATCTCTCGGAAGAATTTCCCCCCCCCAAAAAAATAGGAGGCAAAACGAAAAACCGGAAAATAAAGCAGCAGAATTTTTCAATGATATTATTTTCAAATATTGCGTTACGTACAAAATGATATTATTTGTTTTTTTTTTCGCGAGTTTATTAACATCCAACTATGTTGAGATTTAATATCTAGTTGCAATAAATTACGTTTACGTGCACTTAAATTTGCAACATTGTATGAATACGTTTAAGGAAAACGTTGGATCGTTGATTAAATGAGAATAACGAGAAAGTGATGGATAGAAAACGATTGGGAATGGTAGTGAGGGCAGGGTGGGGGTAGGGGGTTGAAGTGAGAGAGCGGGTAGGTAAAGGGGGTGGCTTAATGCGGTGCTGCTGTTACTGGTTGCTGATGTTGAACGGAATCTTCCTGCTTATCCCTGTGAAATTCACGTCCCTGGTAATTACTATAGTCTCTCTTCTCTCATCCCTATATAATCCCATCCCTTATCACCCTTCGACCTCCTCCCTTTCATCCTTCTACACCTCGTCGATTTGCATTTCTTCGTCTATCTTCTTCAACATCATTGTATTTATTTCGATGTAAATTCGTCGTCGTCGTCGTCGTCGTCGTTGCTTTTCTCATCCTCCTTTTATTCCTCCACCTCCTCCACCTCCTCTCCCTCACCCTCCTCTTTCTTCTCCTTCTTCTCATTTTCGTCGAATCGATAAAACGGAAAATGTGACAAATAAAAAAAGAATAAGAGTTAGTGTGTGAGTGAGAGAGAGAGAGAGGGGGTGAGTGAAGGAAGAAGGTCGATGTCGAGCTTCAAAGAGATTGACGTAGTAATAGGAGGAGGAGTTGAGGGGGAGGGAAGAGGAGGGTGAGTTTGGTTTGGATAAAGTCGGGTTCAGTTTGCAGAAAGGCTTTGCTTTCTACTACGCGTTAACTGTAAATATTATCCTTTTTAAATATAAGAGTAAATGAAGAGAGTGAGGTGGGGTGGGAAAAATGGTGGGCGGTAAGAGGGAGGGGGAGAGGGTGCGTGTACATTAACGCGAAGAGATTATTTGTTATCTTTATCTCTGTCTATTCTATCTTTATTTATTTCTATCTCACTCGTTCTTAATACTCTAATCGTCTCTACTCATAAAGATCTTAGGTAATATATATTTTTTCGAAAGAAAGAAAGAGAAAAAAAAAGAAAAGAATTTAATGACATGAAATTATCCGATTACGTGCGACACGAAGAAGATGGAGGATAAATTAAAAAAAGAAAAAGAAAAAAATAAGAAAAGAATGAAATTTAATATTAGTTTTTTAAAAATCAACAAGGTAATATTATAAATTTGCAACCTTGCAATTTTACAGATTTAAATTAATTCGCGAGTTGATTTGATCGTTTATCAGGATATATTGAATTTATGGATATGAATTTTCTTTCTTTTTTTTTTTCTTGCAAGAAAAAATATTAAATGATATTATCCGATTATGTAAAGCATGTGATAGGATGTTGGAGAAATAATTAATGTTAGTTTAAATATTATAAGTTCCTGATTTTCTTATTAGATATTGTTTTTATTATCTCTTTAATAAGTTTAATAATATTTATGTGCGAGTGTGTGTTTCCGTGGAAAAAGTTTTATACATATTATTAATTCTATATTTAAATTCTAATCATAAAACATTTTTTCCAAAGATTTTAAAATAATTTTCACAATTTAATTCATCTCTTAATGAATATAAGAATTAATAATAATATTTTTTTTAAATCATTAAACTTCGTACAAACTATCGTTTCTATTATTTATTTTATTTATGTGTGTGTGTGTGTATGTGGAATGATTTTATTGATACTATTAATACCCTCTCTATTAAAACTTTAAATAATATGTTTATAAAATTTTCAAATAAATCAATTAAAATTTCTTATATATTTTCTTCACAAGTAAATAGTGAAATTATCCGATTACGTGCAGCACGAGGAACTTATTGTTAGAAAAAAATAAGAAAAAAAAGAAAAAAAAAATGAAATTAATATTAGATTTAATAAATTATCAAGGTACTTCAGAAGTTAACGTTCATATTACTTAACTAGACTAAACAAATGTGTTATATATACCGATTTAATCTATCTTTCTCTTTCTCTTCTTAAGTATGTGCTTGGATTATCGTAAAAGATAAATCACGGGTTGAAAGGAGTACAATAAAGAGTGGTATAGTGTTAAAGTTAATTTGAAGTAAAGAAACATGAACATGAGACATCTACTTAGCTAACAGATCCTATCTTATAATGCATTAAGGAACCTGATCTTTCGAAGATATACACACACACATACACACACACATATACATATACAGTGAGTCTTTTCATTTCATATTATTTATATCAAATTATACTTCTCTAACAATAAAATATTCTTCTGCAATAAAATAGATATCAATTTAAATATTTAACCCTTATTTTATTATACAAATTTTAACGCGAGTATCATTACAAATAAATTCGTTCGTATTGTCGTATCATTACAATTCCTAAATGGATCGATCGTTCATATGATATAATAAATTTAGAAACAAAAACTATGTGTTTATTCGTTTAAACGCCTTCCCAATGAACATTATCAAATCTCACGATAGAGTTTCTTTATTGATTTAAAAAATTAAATTACATTTTCTATGAAAATTAATGACTTTGAACGTATTCATAATTTTACTATTTATCTTTTGTACATTTATATATAATCTCATTATTTTTTGTAAAACAATTATATATATATATACAAGATACTGTATATTTATATATAATAAGAGATATATAATAATATAATTATATATAGTAATACAATATATATATATACAATTATATTATACATTTATATAATAATATATATATATATAGTTAAATTTTGTAATAAAATTATTTCGGTTAAGATCTAGAGGATTTTTCAATATTTTAACTGAAATATACAATTTAACGCTGACATATGTATAAATCTATAGACTTATATATCTAATAGATACATATATATATATCTGTAAGGATTCGATAGTATTTTGAGGAACAATGGATAGCAGCACAGTGGCCACTCGTGATTTTATCTTGAGTCGACTTTAGACTCGTTCAATGAATACCTTCTAACGACTCCTTTCAAGTGAAAACTATACTGAACACACTCGGAAGAACGTTGTACCTACTCACCTAGCTACCTTCATACCTTTTTTACCTTCCTACCAACCCTTGATCGATAGAATCGTTCTTTAAGCAACTCGTTAACTCGTTTGAGAAGAATATTCTATGAAAGGTTATTGTAATACCTGTAATATTACCTATTTTTGTGCTGTCGAATCAAAGTCAATCACGCTAAACTTACTATCCTTTCATATATTGTTTGTATATATATATATATAGTTTGCTTTTTAATTGGATTATATTATATGTGCTATTATATTTAATGAGATTTTGTTTAGGTGTGCATATACGTTTAAATATACGTACAGGATTTGTTGAGTCTAAATTAAGCGTGACTAAAGTTTTCAAGTAATTTTTATATTTTATTTATCTTGTGTTAATTAGATTTAAGGATTGTCATTTTCTAATTTGATGATAATATAATAATATAAACACATGTATACAACAAAAATCAAAAGTTTAAAAGTTTTTTTTCTCAAAAATGGTTTCGCGTTAGGTTAAAACACTTTACCACGATAACACCCTAATAGTAAATTACCAATATACCAAAGTTCTTTTAAATCTGTGGATATCCCAGTGTAATATCCTCTTGTCAGATATTTTGTTCCTGACTTTAAAATGAAACGATTAATTCTGATCTAGCTTGAAAATCAACTCATAGTTCCTGATCTTTTAAAACCTATCCCAATTTTATTATCATCCCCTCTCCCCCACCATGCCCCTTCCTTCTTCCTATCGTCCTCATTTTTTCTTTGTTAAACTTCATCGAATCACAAAACGAATTCCCCAAGTGATCGATTAATCAAAATGTCACTGACACAATTCAGGTGAAGGGAAGAAGCGTGGTTGAGTTAAACGAGAGTGGTGGTTTGTTAAATGAGGAAGAAGATAACTTGTTCTATTATATATTTACGTTCGATAATTTTATTTATGTTACAGGCTTAAAGACTATTATTAACGCGCTCTTGCACAGCTTCAAGCAACTAGCCGAGGTAATGACACTTACGATCTTCTGCCTGATGGTTTTTGCCCTGTTCGCTTTACAAGTTTACATGGGTGAACTTAGGAACAAATGCGTGAAGCATCAAGAACCAAACACCACGCAGATTGATTGGAAGGAGTAGGTTTTTTTATATGATTATAATCGTTAAATTATTATCAAATAATCATATAACATTGTTGTTAAATGGTATCAACAAAAATTATAAGAGTACGAAATATTTAATAAAAATAAAAATATTGTCATATTATATTTGATATAATTTGATATTAATATTTGGATTATTGAATAATTTGTTTATTTGTTTATATCATTTTGAAATAATATTTATTTATTTTTAACGTAATTGAAATGTTACGTGTACGCGGCTTGTGGGTGTGTATAATAATAATTATACATATGAGATTTCTTGCAAATTTATACAAGTTTGTGGTCAGATCTGTGATTAAAATCTGAAAATATATTCTACCGACAAAGGATTCATTTTGTAGTCTTGGGTAGATTCTATAGTATACTCGATCTAATATATCCCATGTGTTTAAATAAATTCTAACGTAAAGATATTTACGTAATAAACGTACTCTTCTCTAATCCCCAGTACGTGCAACATAGAATTACTTTGAGTATAAACAATCCCTAGAGATTCATTAACGATGGCTACTCATCTTGATATATATATATATGTATATATTTGTGTATTTATTTACATTCTCTAGTTAAATGGCCAAGCTGTGAAACTATTAATTTATTTGCAAGATACCACGCAGACAAGAACAAAGCTGTGAGAGTTTGAGAGTTTGAGAGACTATTTGTCTAATATACAAATTCACTTGAATATAAATATAAACAATACATATTGGTGGAGTTTTATTTAAAAGTTTTTTAATAAGTTTTGTAACTTTAGAATTTAAAGCAAAATTTGATGTGAAAATATTTGAGAAAAATATGAATTATTTTTTTAAAAATATTATTTTAATAATCATTCACCCTGTGTATTATTAACATGTTTTAATAATAGTTGTGTATTAAAAATTATGATGAAAAATGAAAAGAGAGAGGGATGAATGATATTATTGAACTTCTGTTGAAGTAGAAATGTTCTGAACGGAAATCGTCAGATAGATACTTAACGCAGTCCTTCTTGAAACCCCGTTAAAAGAATTTTTCGTATATCACCCAACAGGTGGGCTTGGAACTCGTCCAACTGGGCTTTGAACGAGTACGATGAGCCAATCATCTGTGGCAATGTAACCGGGGCCAGGTTAGTGTATTTCCGTCTCTATCCCATCATACAGACTCTTGAGATAAGCCAACAAGGTATACGCGGATATAGTTGGCTTTCCATCGACGTTTTCAAGACGATCACACTCATTTTCGGATCAGGGAATGGTAAACCTGTGATTATTGTATTTTTTTTTTTTTCATAAAAAGAACGCTTTTTGTTTTTTATATTGTCACTTGTAAGAATTTAAATTAAAGAAAATTAATTCAGAAAAAAGGTTCATACTTTATTCATATATTTATTTATTATGATTTATTATAGTAATTAATTATTGCATCAATATATAATTGTGGTGTATATTAAAAAAATGTAATAATTAAATTATATAAAATATTTTTCAACGAATATACAATTTAGAAATGTCTCATATATCATATTTATAGATAAATATATTGATTTATTCATTACAGTGTATTATAGTGATTTAATTTCATACTATTAGTAATATTTCAATAAATATTACATTCCGATATAGAACAATTCAATAAAAACTGGTTATATTAAATTATTAATTAAATTATATATTAATAAATATAAAAAACTTTTATTTTTTTAACACGCTCATAAATAATATTATCAAAAATATATATAAAAATTCGGAGATTCAATTTTCTTTTCCTGACTATACTCGTTAACAAATATACATATTTATGAGATTAAATTATAAGAACCCCTTATTTTGTAGTTTTCTTATATTTTTGAATAATTTTACAAAACAGTAATATTTTTAAGGGGAAATAGAAATGATCATTTAAAATTCGATGGTTCAAGGTAAAATAGATAATGGAACGTGGGTTCGCATAATGTCATAAGGAGTGTGTGTTCGTTGACCGAAAATTTCGATAATTTTCTAAACTAACTTAAAGAATTCTTAGTCAAATACTTCTACGTTTCGGATTCGTACGATCTATAGATCCTCTAATTGCAGACATTGTAACGAGAGCTACACCTGCCTCTGCGTTGGCCCGAATCCAAACCACGGTTACACCAACTTCGATAACTTCTTGTGGTCCATGCTCACCACGTTCCAGCTGATTACTCTAGACTTTTGGGAGGACGTCTATAACAAGGTCTTTTTCTTATTTTATTTTTTAAACATTATTTTTTTCATAATTTCCTTTACTTTATCTAACGACTTTAACTTTTCAACTTTTAAGATCTTCCTGCTCTAATTTTTTCGGATCCTTAAATCATTTTAATACATTAAAATAACTTTAGAGTGTTTCTTACCTTTTTAATCTTCATATTTGTTAAGATTCTTTTTCTTTTTACATATATATATATATATTATTTATATCATTTAAAACATTTAATACTCTCTTTCGTATGTTGAAAATATTGTATTTAAATAAAAAGTAAGTAATACAGTTATGTTTTTTAACGTAAGTATTAATGTTGCGTAGTTTTATATAATAAAACGAATAATTAAATAATATAATAGAATTACTTTTGAAACAGGTATTGTCGGCGTGCGGACCTATTAGCGTCTCGTTCTTCACGGTGGTCGTGTTCTTTGGTTCATTTTATCTAATTAATTTGATGCTAGCTGTCGTAGCACTTAGCTACGAGGAGGAAGCCGAAATTACGAACGAGGTTAGTTAGAAATATTCTATTACGATGATTTCATTATTTGCGATATAATTAACATAATTAATTGCAGTAACATATATCTTCAATTTTGTTGTCCTCTTTTATTTTTCTTACTATATACAGTGTACATATATGGTTAGATTTAACAGTGAACAAGTTCAATTTGTATTAGTAATGAGAAACAGTAAAGGATTTTCTACTTTGATCGTAGGAAAGAAGAAAGGATTTAACCGACCATCGTGACGACTCGACGTTTAGTTTCGACCCGACGAAGATCAACATTAAGACCCTCACAAAAGAAAAACAGAAAAAGATAGATGCCAGGAAGGGTGTACTTTTAAGCAGTTACACGAGAAAAAAGACAAGAAGAAGAAAACGTGGTAGGAGTTCTGCGGGCCAAGAAAAAAATGGTGGCGCACGTAGCAGGTCTCCTTAATTATTTATGCATATATTAATCAAATTCTAATTATTGAAAATATTTCTTTAAAAATGTGTTTGATTTATTTTTCATTTTGTTTGATTTTGTATTAGATTAATCAAAGTATGTTTATATATATTTAAAATAACGCGACAATGATTTTATTTGTACCCAGGTCAGTTACACCAAGTCCAAGTCCAAGTCCAAGACATTCAAGTGTCAGACCATCACATCTTCCGTTACAAAATGTAACACCTAGGCCACCGGAAGGAAATACGGTGCATAGGTTAGCGCCAAATCGTGGTATGTTGCATTCGAGACAAGCAAGTAACAACAGTAATCAACAATCTTCATTGGATGATTCTGGTGTGGTCGATGATCACGACGGTGACGATGTTACGTCTGCCGAGGAACATGATAAACGTGAACATCGGGAACACAGGGTAGAAACTCAGGATAAGGATAATAATCAAGAGGATGACGAGGATCAAAACAATCCTGAATCTTCTTTACGTCCTGATTATCCAACCGCTCCTGTTACCGTTTCCGTTAAGACTAGCAATCGAGAGATCAGAGTTCTCAAGTGCAACGGCGTCAAAACGAAGAAACATATGTACGCGCTGCCTCCAGAGTACCTGTCGCATATTGTAGTTTTAGGTAACATTTACAATCATATTTTACATTTATTTATATATATTTTTCATTATTTTATATAATACCAGAGTACCCCTGTCGCATATTGTARTTTTAGGTAACATTTACAATCATATTTTACATTTATTTATATAAACTTTTCATTATTTTATATATCAATTAATTTTGAACTTAAGTAACTTGTCTTATATTTTAGTTCTTAACAAAATTTCTATATTCAAGATCAGATTAATTCTTTTCTACTTATGGTCCCTGATATTATTTTCTATTCCATATTTTATATATATATATATTGTTTTGTATTTTATATTTTATTGTTTCAGACGATCTTCCAGATAGAAACTGCGAGAAGTGCATTCAATGTTGCGTAGACTACGAGGGATGGTTACGCTTTCAAAATTGTCTATATAAGGTAAAAAGAAATAAAACCATACACAGATATACATACATAGATACACATATGCATGCATACATACATACTACATGCGCGCATACACCCAATTACACACCCCCCTAGTTGTATGAGAATGAATGAGGAAACAAAAAAAAAAAAGAAACAAAAAAGAGAAATAGGGAGAGTGAAAGCAAATTAATCAATCGGTCGATGAGAAAAACAACAAAATCCCGTTTTCTTTGGGATAGGTGGTAAGAGATCCGCTGTTCGAGTTGATGATCACCCTCTGTATCGTATTGAACACTGGTTTTCTGGCGATGGAACATCACGGTATGAGCGAATCGATACGTCAAGCATTAAACATCGGCAACAAAGTGTTCACAAGTATCTTCACGTTCGAATGCTTTTTAAAATTGCTCGCACTTAGCAAGGATTTCTTTAACAACGGTTGGAACATTTTCGATTTGATAATAGTATCGGCCTCGTTGATAGATCTGACCTTCGAATTAGTCGACGGTTTATCAGTGATAAGAGGTCTCAGACTGTTACGAGTATTAAAGTTAGCACAATCTTGGACAACGATGAAGGTCTTACTCAGTATAATCATTTCAACGATCGGTGCTTTAGGTAATCTAACATTTGTCCTTGTTATCGTCATTTATATATTCGCTGTTATCGGGATGCAGTTGTTCAGTAAGGATTACACGTCGGAGAAGTTTTATCCTGATCCTGTACCACGTTGGAACTTCAACGATTTCTTCCATTCGTTCATGATGATATTTCGTATACTTTGCGGCGAATGGATCGAACCATTATGGGATTGCATGCGTGCCGAAAAAGAGGAAGGTGCTGGCACCTGTTTCGCTATATTTCTACCGGCATTGGTGATGGGTAATTTCATGGTACTCAATCTCTTCTTGGCCTTGTTGCTCAACAGTTTTAATTCCGAGGAATTGAAGCAGAAAAAGGAGGAAGTTGGGAAGGATTCGAAATTGGCTAGATCCGTAGATAGGATACGTTCGATTGTTAAAAAGAAAAAATATCGGAAAGAAAATTCGGAAAACGAGAAGAACATGAGATTGGAACAAATAGTCAGAGAAGTTATGGATCAATCGGACAAAGAGAAATATGCGATACAAGAGACGGTATTAAGCCTTCCTAAAGACAATATTTATAACAGGTCATATCAAGAGAGTCTCAATCAACCTGTCTTCACGTACGAACCTGTATATCGTCAAGCTACGTTGACCACTTATAGTCAGAGCAGTCAAGAAACCGTTAAGGAAAATAAAAGGTCTGGGGAAAAGGATGAAAGCAATGATACAAACGTTGAAGAAAGTATTGAAATGGACGTTTTGAAGGATTCCAGTAAAGCAGATGAGGAAGTTGCTATGTTGCCGGAAGAAAAACCATCCCATCCTATACGAAAAGAGGAAAGGATAGAAAAACGACCTTGGCATGCATTGGTCAGTTACGTTGACGAGTTAACTGTCGGTGGTAGAAGAGATAGCAAAGGAAGATACATTGATGGGATGGGTTCGTTTCCCATGTTTGGTAGGAACAAAGAGCCAAAGGAACCTCAGGATTGTTTTCCACAACATTGTTATCAAAAGTAAGTTATTACTATTTATTTGACACCATTAGTTAACATATTTCTTTGCTTATTTTTTGTATTATATTTAATGGGGTCGTTCAACTTCCAATTCGTAAATCACAAGTGATTCACGTGAGATGAAATTCCTTAACTATTAGACCCTATCGTGGCTCGTAAACTGCACGGCTTTTGTTTCTTGAGTAGTGTTAACTGAAGTTTCGGGGGAGAGAGAATAAATTGATTGATGTCGAGACTCCTGTGGTTTGCGCTAAACTGAAGTTATTTATCCTGTTTCATGCTAACGACGTTATAGTTAAATTTATAGTTCGGGAGATATAGAAACTTCAATTTGACTCTATTAATTTCGTTAAAGTGCATAACGTAGCCAAACAAAAAAATTACTTTACAATTGAATATACTATGATCAAACCCGTTAACCTTAATAATGAATTGTTTCATTTGTTTATTTTCCTTATTTTTACAGATGTAGCTGTATTAATAGTTGCATCCGAACCGATGTCGGAAGAAAATGGATAAGAATCCGAACGGTAGTTTTATCGGTAGTCGACACACCTGCCTTCGAATGGATGATCCTAGTGTTGATTTTTGCATCCTCCATTACACTTTGCTTCGAGGATATATACCTGGACGATAATCCATTTCTTAAAAAAATCCTTTATTGGACCAATCTCGCTTTCTGCGCGTTGTTCAGCATCGAGATGCTTCTCAAGTGGTTGGCTTTAGGATTCTGTAAATACTTCACCAGTTTCTGGACGATCCTGGATTTTATAATAGTTTTCGTAAGTAAAACGTGAATCATTGTGCTTATTCTATGGCTACTTTTTTCGGCTGCTAAACAAAAAATTTTTTAATACCTTTTTAGTCTTATTATAAACACACAGACACATACACACACACACACACACACATATTAACGGATATAATAATAATAGTAATAATAATAATTTATATAGGCGCCAATAAAAACAAAAAGCTGAGGTGTGCATAAACAACGAGCTTGTGTCGCAGTGGCATGAGTCATTTTCATCACATTAGAGCTATCGATGTGTTATAATTGATTATTGTTTTGCTTTATTTTTTATTTTTATATAGAATATTTTAAATTATCTACACATTATTACATAGATCGACAAGAAACAAACAAATACAACAATTCTAAAACAACTTAACAATTTGAAACGTTGTTTCGGTGTTCTCTTTTTCTGTGTGTTTTATGTGATGCCTCGTGGACACAGGTACGTCAAATTATTACGCTTGATTGTTTTTCTTAACAGCGTATTATTAATTAAAAATTAATTTAATTAATAATTATTTTTATTTTAATTTTTATTTATTTTCTTTTTAATAGTTATTTATTTTAAATCAACGTGGTGCATGTAACGTACAAATATGCATGAGATATAATTGTTTATATGTTTATATTTTCTCTTTTTATTTATCTATTTGTGTCTATTTTATATATACAAAGATATATTTGTATAGTTTCTTCGTTATTGATTTAAACGATATTCATATACACGTATGCTTCATGGATACAAGTCCTCCATGGCTTTATATACATTCATCCGAAACGTCTCTGGTAATGTAAGCGTAATGTACATCCTTTTAGGTTTTTAAAGTGCGTACGAATGATTGCATTTCTTGAAAAATAAAAGTAACTTTATTTACCTTACGAAAAACTTTTCTAAGGGCTTACAACTTTTTGCAAATTTTATTTATTGCTTGTCGTGTTTGCTTGTTCACTCTTATTCTATTTTTATTTTTGTTTACGAAATATATTATATAATAATAATAATAATAATAATAATAATAATAATAATAATAATAATATGATAGGAAGGATAATATTAATAAAATCTATTTATCAATAA